GCAGTTATCCATAAAAGATTTTTTTACAAAAGGGGTGTTATATGCGACCTGATCAAACAAGTGATCCGATCCGAACTATTTTCAATAGCTTTCGATCTTGGGGGCGAAGTACGTCCATTTACCTTAGTTCGTCAAAATATCTCAAAAATTGCAACCTGTAGTTTGAATAGAAGGAAGCACAGCACGGACAATAAATCCAGCTTATAAATCTCTGTTATTCTATATATAACGTCTCTCCGGCCATAGGTTTAATGGCTTCGATATAGACTTGATTTTGAATTTCTTTTCTGTCCGCATTTCATTAGTTCTATCTATTGTCCTATCTGCGATTATGATTTAAAAATAAAATTAGCTTGAGTTGTACTTATGCCAAGCTTTCAAATCCCGAGACATAGTTGAATATCATTTTTAATTCTTATGATAGTCTTCGCAATGTTGCAAATTAATTTTGAAAGCTATAAGATGAACGATACGAATAATTTAACCATTATTTTTAACCGATTAATCAGATCGAAAATTTAAAAATTATCAAAACGCCGTAGTCGGCATTCTTCTTATTTTGCGAGTCAGCAAAACAACAATAGATGATCCTCGATTGCAATAGATCGAGACTTAAGCAAAAAGCAAAAATAATTTTCAAATTTTCAGTGTTCGCCGGAAGTATGGTTACTAACAAGGCACAGAACCATATTCCGACCATTTCGACAGTGTATATGTTTCATATTTGATAATTAAATAAGTGAGATGCAGAGCAAGCTTTGATTCTTTTACCGTGTTCTTGCTGAATTTTTCCGTGGTGCTCAATGAAGTAGAGGAGTATTGCAATGCTGAGCCATCATCCTATTTATCAGAAACGACTCTAATTGATTTTTAAATATTACCTAAACACACAAAAGGACGATCAAAGGACAGCATTCTCCACCAATGACCGAAAGATGAAACTTTTCGAATCCATATTAAGACAAGACGCGTTCCACGAGGGATTTTCAAATTGAAAATTACGTTGTCAGAAGCGTTAAAAGACTATTTGAACGAAAGGCCCAAATATTTTGCAGGCTGGATAAGTGATTGTTAAGCAAGTTAACGATTTATTTTTGAATCAACTCAGCGTATGATTAAAATATGAGATACAATACCACGTATATTGCTAGCGCCTTTTGTAATCACATATATGATCTACAAATTAACAGTAGTCGGTTTGCCTATCCATCCGTCTTGTTTTTTTTTTTTTTTGTGTCCAATCTACAGGTCGCATTTTTCATGAAATTTGGTACAATAACGTGTGTTGGCCCAAGGATGAACACTTTTGAGGATGGCTCGGATCAGATATGTATAACTTCTTGGAGTTTGATCACTTTCCATATAACGCCTTATTTTGAAAGATCATTATGTGAATAACTGTATTACGCCAAGCACTGTAGGGTATCCGATGGTGGGCCATTACCCACTATAGTGTTTTTATTTATATTTGAATTTATTCTTTTTTACTTTTAAAATATTTATTAAAACTCTACCGACAGGGATATATCCTCATTATCATATTAAGCTAAAGCTTAACGTAAAGAAAACAATTTGCTGTTATGTTGCAATGTTTTCATCAACAACACCAACAATCGTAGAGCAAATTAATCATTCTGGACACCCTTTGCAGACTATTAAACGCCCCAAGCCGCTTCACCATTCAATAGAATATCAAAAATGTTACTTTTTCTTTCTTTTCAACAGAATAATTACTTAGGAGGTAATTCAAAACACAGATCTTTATAAATCAAATTTAGCTTAGTTTATGTGCTTAACCAATGTTTTGTATCAGTTTTTATTATAAGGAATTAAAAAGTAGATTATATTATCGTCGAAGGTGAATAGGGGGAAGAGGTTTAACTAAAGGATTCTATGCCATCAAGAGTTTCCACCTTTATTAAGGGGGAAAATAAAATATTGTTAGGTATTGATTTTGGATTAGAGAAGTATTGCAGATGTCAAACTTAAACAAAATAACCACAAAAATGACTCGAATCAATTGATTTTCAAAGTGTGTGCTGTTTTTAAGCCAATATAAGTCAATGGACCAAACTTCATCAAAATATTTCAAATATTGCGATTTGTCGCTCATGTATAACCAAGAAACACAAAGACAGACAAGCGGACAGACGAGCAAACAGATTAAAATTGGTTTAGAAAATAAATCTAAAATGATCCACATAATGAAATATAAATTCATCTGAATTCGTTCTGAATATTTCATTTAATCACACAAACTTAATACAATCATCTCGCAGATATATAATAGTTTAACGAATTTTTTTATATTTAATTTGCATTTTATTTAAATAAAAAAAGTTGAAGAAACCACTAATCAGGCGGTACGATAACGTGACTAAAGTTTGGCAAAACAAATGTTAGTGATTCAAAAATCCGCTACATTCAATTATGCTTATCATAGGCGATTATACTAAAAAAACACTATTTACTGATTTTCGGCGCTAAAAAAAATACTAAACAGAGCGAATAACTTAAAGCTTTGTTAGACACCAGTGCCTTACCGCCTTATAACCGCCTTATAACATGACTTACTGCTTAACGCCTGCACCGATTTATTGTAAGCCACGTGAAGAAGAAAAAATCTCTTTTCTCTCTCCATTTCTATGATTTAAGCTCTTGTTGGAATTAATCGCTGAGTGAACAAATCTGAGATTTCACTTGCTTAATATGCGTATGGAACTAACAAAAACAAAAATCTAAATAAAAAGAAGCAAAATCATATCTCATAATGTAGGTCGAATACAAGAATACAAGAAAGATAGACGGACAGACAAGCTGAAGAAAAGCGGAACATGATTCTGAACCAATAGATATAATAAAAGGTACAACTATATTAAGTTCTATGAAGCGTTGCATACATTCGCACAAAACACGGATAATATATCCTGGCACAACTGGACGACATAAGCAGTGATTTTCCGGTGATCGTCTTTAACGCATGATGCTCACTATAGTTAAGCAAACAATGGATGAGAGAAAAAACTCGGCACCAAGTAAGGCTTATCATCATTATCAAGATAAGAAACAGGATATAGTCTTCGGTTAATCTTCTTCTCGCTTACTTAATATAGGAAGGAATGAATAGAGAAGTGTAACGTCCATCTCTGAGATGGTCAGGAGAAAAAAAGATTTTATTGAATTTCATCGCCTAAGTTATAATAACAACTGGGAGCGAATTCATTGCGTATTGAATTTACAGAGGTACATAGAGATATATATAGTGATATATCAAGAGTTCGCTTATTGTGTTCCATTTCAGTAAATGGGTATATATCCAACCCCTTTTTTCATTGCTTTTACTAAAGCGTAGCATATAAGCGTAGCATATATAAGTTTATCTGTATGCACGAGTGTTTGCTATTATACGCTTGTTTCTTAGCGTGTAGCGCCCAGAAACGTTTCAGGAACATCTTCATTAATTACATAATGTATTCCCAATCCTGAATTCCAGTCTGTTTACCAGTGCGTTTACTATTGTTATTATTGAAATGCCATTGATTCAAAAAATTAAAACCGAAACCAAAGAACAAGCGTCGATAAACGCTATGCTCTTACTTCCATCCGTTGATTGTACAGAAATTCAGATGGGAAAGTGCAACTTGGTATCCTTATACGTTCCCTTCAGTTATCGGAAAGCTTATTACGGCAAAAATTAAATATAAAACTGCAGATTGGCACCCTCCCGCCCGTCCGTTGATTGTGGGGAAGTTATCGCCAAAAACATTTAGATAGAAGAGATTACCATTGCAAAAATTTAGGCAAAAACTGCAACCTAGCATCCTTCTTACCGTCACGCGAAAATTTGAATAAGAAACTGCAACTCGGCAACTTTCCATCGGTCTTTCGGTAATAAGAGGGCTTACCTTTGCAACAATTTAGGTAAAAAATTGCAGCCTGTGGCATACTGCTTTCGATTGTAGGAACGTAACTTTGCAACAATTTAAGTAAAAGATTGCAGCGTGTAGCATACTGCTTTCGACTGTAGGAAAGCTCATCATCACACAAAAGTTTAGCTAGAAGATTGCAGCTTGGCATGCTATCCATCCGTCAATAACAAGAGAACTTACCATTGCTGGGTGAAAACTGGATTTTTTCTCTCAACTAAAGGAGCGCTCACCACCACGCAAATCACTTATCGAAAATTCGCCTAACGCAAAAATTTAAGGATGAGGTAGCAAGTCGTGTTTTTCTTCTATCTGCTATTTATAGAAAGCACTGCCGTAGCAAAAATTGAAGGAAACGATTATAGCTTAACATATATATTCTCAGTTGATGTTGGACTATATAAATTGACGTTTGTTGATTGTTGTAAAATTCACAATCGAAAAAATTAAGATAGAAATAATCAATTTGGTCACGTTTGTTTTCAGTGGATGACCACAGAGAAAATTTAAAAAATGAAGGCGATGCGATCAGATTGTGACGCACCACTGCTCGAAAAAAATGCTCAAAAAATGGTTCTTCGTAACAAAATTCAATGCAACAGTGGTCCCTCTCGGCCAACTGATAGAATACTTTCCACTACGAGAGGATAAATATAGTGCTATGATCAGAAAAACTATGCTAAGATATCCTTAATATTTAAGAATTTTATTTTTTAAAGTAGTAATAAGTAAGTATTTTATATATATTTATATATATAAAATATGTATATTTTTATGTTTTCTATATATAGTATAATTTATATATTACATCCTTATGATTTAAAAAAAAAACTTTTTCAAAATTAATATTAATAATAAAAAAAGAGTCACTCGTGCTTAGCCATGGAAGCACTTTTTTTTTTATGTTAGCATCACATGTTAACTGACATCTGTGTCGAATTTCAGGCTAATAGCTTAAGAGAATTGATGAGATATGGTTGTTCACTTTCTTTTGAAGAAGTAAGTATTTTCATATTGCTTGATTGGTATAAACTGAGCGAAGAAGAGAGAGAAAGAGTTGAAGAAGATGGACTTTCTAGTTTAGATAAATGTTCTAATGTAGATAGATGCTCTTGTCTAGACGAACGTTCCAGTTTAGATGGATGTTCTAGTCTAGATGAACATTCTAGTTTAAAAGGATATTCTAGTCTAGATGAACATTCTAGTCTACATAGATGTTATAGTCTAGATGGACATTCTACTTTTAATGGATATTCTAGTCTAGATGAACATTCTAATCTAGATGGATGCTCTTCTAGTCTAAATGGACATTCTAGTCTAGGTAGATGTTCTAGTCTAGATGGATGCTTTAATCTAGATAAGCCTTTTAGTCTAAATGGATGCTGTACTCTAGGTGGATGTTCTAGTCTAGATGAACATTCTAGTCTATGATATTCTGTTCCAAATGGATATTCTAGTTTAGATGCACTAAATAGATGCTTTGGATCTGCCAAAATATGTGGGGAAAAAATCACTATCTGCACGAAATATTTTCTTTAAAATTTTTATGCTTTCGTGCTGTGTGAGATCGTCTGGTGGAAGTTAGAGTCTAAAGTTTTTTCTGTTGATCTCTCACTTCTCTAATACACTTACAGATCTCTTCAGAAGATACTTATGTACACTTTAAATCGTTTCCGAACAAAAATACGCTACTCTACCTTCTTTGAGAAAATGCTTGGGTGTTTGCGAGACTGACAGCGTTTTGAAAGCTTTCAACGTTTCTACCAAGAAATTCAAAGTTCGAAATGAAGCTTTTGTTGCTATTTATAAACTCGTCTATTAAATTGTAGACTTTCTTGTCGTCTTCTCCATTATTTCAAAAATTACAGAGCTTGAAACCTCCGATTCTCTCTTTGGCAGACGCTTTCGTGGCAGAAATTGTTTCAGAAAAACAAAGAGAGAGAATATTTGAACTTGGTAGGGCAGTTTTATGATCTTGTAAATGCGGAGTAATAGCAAAAACAAAAAAAAAACAATGTTATTGTAATAAACACAATGTTATTGTGGAAAACACGGCTACAGTATTGTTACAAAAATGCTATTTTTCATGATTTCTAAGAAACTAAATTCTAAAGAAGGAAAAAACCAAATGCATATTCATCACGCGTCATGCATTATCCGAAAATGTAGATGAAAAATGTCGTGATGAATTTAGGTAATGATAAAGGGCTTGTAAGCAGAATATTTGAGAGAGTCGAGTGCCAATCGAAAGGAGCACTTAAGGGAAGAGTGCGATAAAAGTAAGTAAATTGTGAATGCATTATAAATACTGCTTCTAAAAATTATAAATAAAATCCACGCAGTTCGCGATCGAGTGGTACGAGCTCCGGTAAGAAGTGCAACAAAAACATTTTGTAACAATAGCCTCTAAGACTTAAAACATGTTTTTCTAGAAACTTGATATTTCGAAATGGCACGCAGCTAAGTCAAACAGTTTTCATTTTTTCCATACGAATTTTTGATAGTACCTCTAAAACCCCATTTTACATGGAATTTTTTTGATAAAAATAATTTAAAGCAAACGAAGTGAACATTTTCACAAAAACACGAGCCATTTACTTAAAAAACAATATATCTAAAACGCCTTACGTAGATATAAGGATTTCGGTGGTTTGCATTTAAGTCACATGATTCTTTTTTTAACTTTAAATTTGGACCAGTTATGCTGCGTGCCACAGAGTTCCTTACCGTTGCTATTTTTTAATACTTTTCCATAGTAATCTTTTTTTTTCTATTACTTCAAGGCATGCTTAATAACCTCCTCAAATATTATTATCCCACTAATCTTCCTTCTAACCAAAAAAAAATAAATAAATAAATGTTCAAAAGACCTTCTTTTTGTAGGCTGATAAGCATCTTCTTAAAGGCGTCTTGCTTTTATGCAAAGTAGATTGGTAACTCGAGATACTTAACTCGAGTCGCTCCTGCTTTGGTTCGATTTAACTTTCAATTATACCTGAAGTTTAAAAAAGCTTTCCAGAGATATAATCTCGATTCGATTGAAGTCGAATTGAAAACTTGACTCTCTTACATGGAAATAAAAAAAGTGTGTCTAATTTGTTACCCAAGTTGTGACATAGTTATCAGTTAAGGTGCTGCCAAGGTATAACAAAAATATGATTTGAGAGGAATAGTCTTGTTACTTCTAATCTAATCTGCTGATTACAAAAGTGGTCTAATTTTTTTACTAGTGATTCCCAAAATATCATACTTAAGCAAATATAGATTTTTCCTAATTTATATTTATTCTATGTACATTACTTTAAACGTATGTTATACTTGATGCAAACACTGTTCACATCAATCTAAGTGACAATGTCAAATGATTCATTTTAATTATTTCCATAACCATTTCTTTTTTTTTTTTTAATTTCTTTAATACCGCGCAAATAGTCCTCTTAGCAAACAGTTCAGCTAATAAACGTACATAGCATAGTTTGAAAGTAAAAGGAAAAGAAAAAGCAAACAAACACTTAAGAGAAATCACAAATAAAAGAATGCAAATGAATTAACCCATTCGAGGCCGATTGCTCACCATACCTACAATTATCAATCATTCTGAGCAACGTAGTCGTCGAGATAAGACTTGTTTTGAATTAAAAATATCTATAAAGTATAGAAAGCGCAAAAATTGATTTAAATTTAGCTCCTAAAATGGCAGATCCTAAGGCAGGAGAATCACGACTGCAGGAAGTAACCAGTGATCATAAAAGTGATGATTTTATACTTGTAAGAAATAGAAAGAAGAATCGAAATGTTCTTAGTATTTTTACACGAATTTTATTTACGCGAATTTTGATTTAACACGAGTTGGAAAGAAAAAATTTTGTTCGACGGTAATGACAGCAAAAAGGAAAACAATGAATATGAATGCACCTAATTTTCTTTTTACGCGAATTTCATTTGCACGAACATTGATTTAACACGAATTAAAACGAAAACATTTTCTTATTATGGCGCGCGAATGATGAGAGAAATGAGGAAAACAATGATTACGAATACACTTTATTCTCTTTTTACACGATATCCATTTACACAAACTTCGATTTAACAGTAGTTAAAAAGAAGAAGTTTTATTATTATCGCGCGCGAATGATGAGACAATGAGGAAAACAATGATTATGAATACACTTGATTCTCTTTTTACGCGATTCTCATCTACACAAACTTCGAATTAACAGTAGTTAAAAAGAAGAAGTTTTCTTATTATGGAGCAACAGTGATGAGAGAAATGAGGAAAACACTAAATATGAATGCATCTAATTTTCTTTTTACGCGAATTTTACTCGCACGAATTGTTTTGCTTTAACCCAATTTTCAATAATCTGCGCTTTCTTTATGAAATGTTTTAATGAATTTTTCTGATGGATTTATTTTTTTCATTTTCCTTCGAATTTGTTCATTCTCACTCCTCACAAATGCGCATTCCAGCTTCGGGTAATATTTTTCATAATTCAATTAGATAAGTTCGATTATATCCGTATGTGAACGTGTGAATCCGCGAATTATGCATATAGCAAAGACTGTATGTATTTTTCACGCACGGTTTGCAAACCACTATTAATTTTTTATAATGTATCTGATGAGCTAAAATGGATAAGCAAGAAATAAATTCTTAAGTGAACTCTAACAAGAACTTTTTAAATTTTGCTAATGGAAAATTTTAGTTGCTTCTTTTAAGTTTGGAACCAACCTACTATTGTTCCATTGAGTCAATATCTTTTTTACACGAACTTTGTTACACGAATTAGGCTTATTGAACTCTTCGATGATGTACAGGATAGGATAAGACACTGAAAGTGTGATTGAACAATAGATTGAAAGTGAAGTTATTGAAGATACTGAAATGTGGGAAAATGACAATTATCGTGCAAAAATCCTTTTTTGGGACGAGCACGATCTGCAAAAGTTAACAACATTTTTGGAAATTTTATTTAATAATATCTTTTTCCCTACGGCTGTGAATGAGACAAATAGACGGGGCGAAATGATTTCACGGGAAAATGGAAAAATTTAACCATTTCCGAATTTAAAGTGTTTTTAGGCCTATTACTATGTACGGATATCATCACTTGTCCAAAAATTAATAACTCTTGGATTAAGAGCGAACAATTTGTTTCCTTTGGAGTGCCTTCCGCGACATATATAGGGAAGGCAAATTACAAAGAAAGGTATGCAGACAATGCTATAAAGAAATAAATTAATTACTAATACTTTTGTCCAGCTTGTGCCGGGAGAACGCTTCAAGCGCTGTCATCAACCAAGCAATGTATAATTATTGTATCATCTTTCTGGTGATTTACTTTCTTAGAACTTCTCTTTGCACTACATTTTCTTCTCCATTATAAAACTTAAAATATTTGTTTTTTATTATCTAACTATTAATACACTACATCACTTGATGGTATGTAAAGTTTTGTGCGGGCATATGTAACATGCTAAAAGACTTGAGATAGATCAGCCTTTTATTGCACCGATCGTTTCAGAAGTTGATGCTAAGCCTATCTGTCCATGTATTTTTGTGTTCAAACTACAGATCGCGATTATTGAGATATTTTGGTTGAATTTGATACACTGACTTGATTTGACTGGCAGACGAACTCCCTTTTTTGACCATACCCCGCTCTATTTTGAAAAGTCGTTATGCAACACAAATTGTAATTTTCAAAATTTGGCAACTAACTGCACTGTATAGCACTACCTCGACATTCTAAGTTGGTATGAAATATTTGATATGGCTGGGACAATTTTTTGAACCCCCACTTATATAACCGTTCCTAACAAAGTTGAATCTTTATATGGTCAAAAGGTATAATTTTCAATACCTCATGGGGAAAATTGGTTGATAATACCGAAATGGCAATGAAATCAACCTTCCTGCATTTGGACTACGCAGGTCAATTTTTTGGATTCTGCAGCTTACAAAGATTCTTGTAAACTCTTACATACCAAAACGGCAAAACTGTTAATATTTTTTATGAAAATTTGTTTATGATAGTCATTGATCATAAAAATTAATTAGATAAAACTCGAACCACATTGACCTATTTCTTGGACCCCATTTCATGTAAGATTTCTCATGTAAGATTTCTCCCCTTCAAAGAAAGATTTAATTTCTAATATTTTGTGATGAAAATTGATCCATAGTAGCAAATTAACCAAAAAATTAATTAATTAATTAAAAAAATGGCTGAAATGTTATAGGGTATCTAACACTTAACCTTGCCCAGCTATAATGTTCTTACTTGTTTTAAAATAAATGTTTATCAGTATTAATGATTTAATTTATTTTATTACATTTTAATTTACATTGCTCACGTGCTACTCAATCCGCTCCTCACACGAAAAGTTTTTTGTGGAGAGAGGTGAACATAGGGTAGGCAATCATCTTATTTATGCGAATTGGCTTATGAATTGTTTGATTTCCATAATCAACAAATTTTTTTTTATTAAATACAAGTAAGAACGTTATAGTCAGGCAAGGCCGATCGTTCAATACTCTACACCGCATTGTCCAACGTAATTTTTATTTCTGTATGAATTTACTGTATGGGGTCAATTTTCATCCACACATATTAAAACTTTGACTTTTCTACACTACGAAAGTTCAATTTTTGGGGAAAATCCTTATGGTATCCTATGGCATCGTGATGATCCAAAATTGGTACAGTTAATTTTTTATGTTAACTTACAATCTAATTTTCATTATGAAACATTAACAACTATATCTTTTTGTCGTATGAATTTTAATTTTCGCTATATGAAACGGGGTTCAAAAAGTGTCCCAGACCGTCCAAAGTTGTCAAATTTTTATGTGATCGAAAAAGGTGACCGATCCGAACTATTTCCAATAGCATTCGTCATTGGGTCAAGCCACGTCACTGCACAAATTTTATCAAAATATTTCCAAAATTGCGACCTATAGCTTGAACATAATTTCACGCGGACAGACGTCAGACGAAGAGACAGACAAAAGGGCAGTCAGGCTTAGATCGACAATGAAAGCTGAGTCTACCTTAAGCCTTTCTGGGTATTGGATACGTCCACACTAACTTAATATACCCTGTACTACCGGTGGTGGAGTGTATAGTGAACAATATAATGACCAAAAGAAAAAAACGTCGTCCTTGGAGACCGCGTTTGAAAAAATTCTCGAATGGGTTAATGGAAAGAAAAATACGCGCACTTACCTTTTTATTCGTCATATACACCGATCGGAAAATCCTTCTTTCCACTGGTATGATATTCGATCGTTTCACTTTAGATAGGATTCCATAGATACTGTGAGTGAGTTAATGAAAACACTACTACAATGGCCAAAGCCACATATACAGATATAGAGGCTGCAAAACACTTTACTTTGGTGAATAGTCAAGTCGACTGCCTACCTATGACCGCCAAATCCGGTTGTGGTCGCGGCGGCAATAAAGTTGCCCTTACCATTATACGTAGTGTTATCTATCGATGATATGATAATAACTGCATAAAAAAAAAGAAAAAGTATTGCGTATGCATGAATACAGACATTTATATAAATTTTGTGTTTTTGAACTTTTAATTCTCTTATGCTTTTGAAAATTCACTGAAATTCTATCATTTACCCACCATTACCAAAATTGCACACTTTAATGAAATTTGTATGTAATCAAAAAGAAACAAAAATAATGATAGTCAACATTTAACAACCAACACAGCATCGATTTACCTGAATATGCTGATTGAGCTAATTATCTCATATAAGAGATTAATTTTTTTAATATTACTATGTGCAATTTTTTCCTAAATGTTGTACTATGCCGCCGTTGGGAATATTTGCAACCAACCTAGCTATCCCTTTTTATACCCTACATAACTTATGGTACAGGGTATATCAAGTTTGTGCGGGCATATGAAGGACTTGAGACTTGAGGACTTTGGTCGATCAGTCGACTCAGAAACATTTTCTGAATCGATCTAAGCTTTTCTGTCCGTATGTCTGTCTGATGTTCATTTCATTTTCTGAATCGATCGAAGCCTTTTTGTCCGTATGTCCGTCTGGTGTCTGCCCATGTATACGTATGTTCAACAAACTAGGAGGATTTTTTCAGACATTTCAATGAAACTTGATACGCTCGTGCACGGTTGGTCTGAGGGCAAGCCCTATTGAAAATGATTAGGATTGGGCTATTGTTTTGATCACTCTCCATACAATGTCTGAAAATAGTATACATTCAAGAATTTCGCGACAAGAATCACTTGGTAAAAATATTTCGGCAAAATTGGTGTGAAAAGTTTAAATTGGGTAGAGCAATTTTTTGAACCTATTGCCACAGGACCATCTCTATGGTAACTGAATGGCAAAAGAATCCTAATTTTCAATTGCGCTTCATGAGAATTCGTTCATACTAATAAGTTGACATAAAAATTGAGTTTACCGAATTTGGATCTCATAGGTCGATTTTTGGCATCCGAACCCTTATAAGGGATCCTATGAAAGATGTGCCTTTATATGCCTAAAGAGTCTAATTTTTAATATTTTTTAATAAAAATTGTTCCTTAGTAAATTAATCAGAGGGAATTTGGATCACGTTGGTCTAATTTTTTAGACAACCATATATAATGGTTCCCATAAAAACAAATCCTCTTATGGCGACAAAGTCTAGTAGGTGGTTTGTTATGACGGAACCAACTGAAAGATAATCAAATCTTTGACAAGAAAATAAATTTGCTAAATTTAGACCACGTTGACCTTTGCGAATTCCCCAGTAAGAGGGAAGTTTTGAAAATTATGCATTTACACTGAAATAATGAATAATTTTTGTTGTGTTGTCACGAAAATGAATGAATCACCTAATGGGGCGATATGGCGTAGAGTAACTAACGGTCGGCCTTGCCTGACCATAGTACTTTTATTTCTTTTTATATATATATACCACTAATTCCACACGGGATGTCTCTGGCACCTGCATCGTTATGGTCAGAAAGAAGTGGGGGAAGAGAGACGTAGGACTTGGCCGCAGTCTAGAATATATATACCCGATTGGTAAAGGCATGGCGCTCACTGCACCTACGATCGCACACCACTAGTAATTGAAGCGTGATCTACCGCACTGGAAATGCTTTTAATATAAACTTTTCCCGACGTGAGATTCAATTCGAGAACCACTAGCTAATTGAAGATAAGTTTCTTTATATGTCGTCTTTAGGCAATTTTACTACGCTTTAAAATTGATACCAATCAGAGAAGGCCGCTTGTTGAAATTAGCATGTTTTAGCAGACCTTTTTCTTCCCCAAAAAAACCTCGAGATTTTGGGAAAACATTTCTATGTTTTTCGTCCAATGGCCCGTATAAGTTTTTATTAACTTCAGAGCTTACCAGAGGAATGAAAAAAGTTTGCTATTGAATTTTCTCTCAGGCTTTCCGGAAACTTTTGTATCATTCATAAAGTCATATTTAACATGAATGTATGGTTAGCAAACGTTTTTTTCATTTCGTATTTATTCTGAAATTTCAAATAAACTTTTTAATGACTCTTTGAAGAAAATGCCCGATGATAAGAAGTGATTCTTACCAGTTTCTATCGGCACATACAAATTTATACACAGAGACACTTACAAATCTGTGAAATGCGTTACTGTCAAGGCAACCAATATACAGAACAGAAATCAACATGTGCCAGCTAGATATAGTTTGATACTTTTTGATCCTTTCGAATCGATCCCCGTATAATAAAATGAAATATCCATTAGAAACCGACCAATGTTCGAATGTCAAAAATATGCATTCATAAGTACAAAATAAACGCTTTTCTTATATTTCCTATACTTAATGTGAATCGTGGGTATGGTGGGTATGTAAATTCCGCCCCTAAAACGAGCATATTATTATTCTCCTTACTTTTTTCTTTTTGTTTTAATATTGCGCAAAAAGTCTTCTTTGTGAACAATGCAGCTAAGAACCGTATATTTGAAATATAAGAAAAAAAAGAAGAGCAAAATAAAAATCGTGTAAAAAAGGATAAAAGAAATTTATTTTTTTCTTTTTTTTTTTAAGAAAAGCACTACGAATTAATTTGTTAAAATAATTTGCTCTATTTATGCTAAAACACACAACAGTGAACTTTAATAACAGACCTAAAGAATAAAATGATTATTTACCTCCTCGTCTACGGTACTAGGATATATGGGTAAATTCTTCTCCACACTGAAATGATCTTCCGTCGTTTTACGATAGGCAGGATTCTCAAAATTCATAGAATTCACGGAACGCCTTCTATAATGACGATACCCAAGATATAATATCTGCAAAACAATATCAATTTCAGTTAAGCATAAATAAATGTTTCAGTTGTAAATTTACCGCTCCTAGCACTAGCGATACACCGAGTAAACCTCCTGAGACTATCAAAGCGATATAGCCGGAATCAGGTTGCACTGCAGTAGCGGTAACGTTGCTACTACCGCCATGCGTAAGGTTACGAAACAAATGCTTATTAGCTGTATAAAAAAAAAGAAGTCAATAAATACATTATGTTTACATTAAGAAAAATTTAAGGTTATGTTTATTCTTCGAGAGAAAGCTTAAAAGTTATAAGCCGAATTTCAAACAGAATTCAAGATGACTGAACATGCAGGTAGACAGAAAAGTAGGCGCATCTATGAAGAGGTATAGCAAGGAAAAAGTAGCCGGAGAGATGCTCGAGTGGGTCAGAAAGGGGCGGGGGGGGGCGCCCCCCCAGCTAGTCGTGCAGGCAGCAAAAAGGACAGATAAATAAAGAGAGACAAGAAGGTTGACAAACAACTAGCGGTCAGGCAGATAGCAAGAAAGTCGAATAGGCGAGCAGAGAAAAACACGAAGAGTCGAAAAGACGAACACGTAGGTAGAGGGCGCAAAGGGAAACGAAGACAGACAAGAAGATAAACAAATACATAAAGAAGTAGGAATGATGACAAGCAGACAACAGATAAACGACGTACTTATGGGCAATCGGAAAAACAGACAGCTGGTTGCTAATCAGATAGGCAGTTGGGCAAAAGGAAAGACAGATGGATAGACGAAGATGCTTAATTCATTGACAGATGGTAAGGACAAAATCGAAGTGTTTTCATTTACTAAACGACATAAGTTTACATCTAACTTAAGTTGAAGTAAACTTAAAGAAGAAAAGAAGAAGAAGAATTTTTGTTAAACTTATGAGTACCACTTGTGTATTGGGCTTTATTAGTAATAAAAAATTCATAGCAAAAAGAAAAAATCAGAAACTTACAATCTTCGGCACACGTTTGTCCATCTTCCATTAAACGCAGACCGGTGGGGCAGGCGCATGTTATACGAGGGCTGCGTTGATTAATGAACGGCGCCGGTAAACATAAATGTGAACAATGTCCGTTTGCTGTCTGACAATAATTTTCACCATCTGGCTGACGATACGGATGATACACATGTACAACCATCGGATGTTGCAGCTGATGTTATAGTTTTTTTTTTTTTTTGTCGTAAAAGTTTATACGGCATTTACATTGCACACAACCGTCCGTTGAAGATGTAAAGAAAAACAAAGTATTTAAAATTTAACGTAACTACATTCATTTATAATGCAGCATAATTTATCGTTATGTCACATATATACTATATGAAATGTACTGCAATATGTCTAGTGCAGAAAGATTGAAGTGTTATACCTCAAGCCAGAAGGTTACCACAGGGCTTAAGCTACTTCCTACTATTTCCATAATGTAATCTGATTGCCATTGTTGTTGCCGGGTGTAATTTCGTTTGCTTCATTGTCCAAGGAAGCCATTACCCTATTTCTAAGTCCAATTGACCAATTTTTTGGCCAAATTTTTTGCGATCGGATAATGTTACAACAGACGTTACAGGCGGATATGTTTGAATCGATGCGAAATTTGATATTGATCACATTGATGGTCACAAAAGATTGTAAATAGAGGAATAATGGGACGTAGCATTTGTATATGTTCGGCTTGGTGGAGTGTATGTCTTAAAAAATGGGAAAGACGGCTGCTATTGGCAGCATAAGCAAAAAACGAGGATACGGGGTTACAACTCCCCATAACGGGTTGAAAAAAACACTGAGCCAGCAGAGTGGTCTTTTTTACGGCCTTGATAGATGAACAGATCTCTTCTACCTCTGTAGAAAACTTCCCGCACGCATGAGCATAGCGGGGCCTTCGTTACGCTAATGGTCGAAGAATGTGAAAAGTGATGGACGACACATTATCGCCATCAATAAGCACATGTTGCTGTCGCTGCATGTACTTTATATTACGTCCAAGCAAGACCTGGTAGTCTCGCCTGAAAGCCTAAGTAGGTAAGTTACTGTCTACTCCTGACCACAAGTAATTAAGTGATGATAAGGAGTGTGTAACCAATTATATATGAAATTGGTCTTCTGAGTATTTTTTTGTTGCCTATCAGTATTGTGAACACTCGTACTTTTTATTTCTTATTCCTTACAACGCGTGCAGTTTTACAAATACGCTCTCAGTCAGATTGCCTACACTTGTAAAGTTTTACATCTGTTGCAAGGGAAAAACTTTTAATCCCAAAGAGGCATTTACTTGACCATTTAAACAAACTTCTGCTTACAAGTTGGTGTCGTGTTCTTGCTACCAACATTATGTTCTGTTTACCTCTTAACTTGTAAAAACTCCTTACATTCATTCATTGTTGACGTAGTGCACATACTTTTATTTGTAAAACACTTTATGCGCTCTTACTACATAATTAATGCACACCAGAATGTATTTACCGCCTGTAAAGGTGTGGGCCAACACGTGCATTGTTGTTTTCATTTGGTGTTTTTGAGTAAGAGAAAATATTAATAATTCACAAAACGTTGCACAAAACCCAAAGGGTTTAACTCGATCACTGGCTTTAAAATTCTTTTATGGTTCAAGCTTTAAAAGCTTTTTAATAATATTTTCGTAATTTTTTTATTCGAACTTACCATATGCATAGCAGTTATAGCTTCTACATCTTGACCATTGAACTTGTTTGCTTTAAACACTGTTTGCTTATCCCAATCGGTCCAATATAAATAGTCTTCAAATGTTGTTATTGAAAAAGGATGACGCAGATATTCAGTTGAATATAAAATTTGGCGACGTTGTGAGCCATCGTAATTAACCGATGAGATGATATTTAGTTTACCATCAACCCAATAAAGACGTTTGCGTACCATATCCAATGTAATGCCATTTGGCCATTTCACATCATAATTAACAATAGTAAGGCGATGTGTACCATCCATACCAGCACGTTCAATACGCGGTGAAGCACCCCAATCGGACCAATACATCCAACTGGAGAAATGAGAAGAGAAAGTGAAAATTTTTTAAAGAAAATTATTTCAATGAATTATATTTTACCCATCAATTGGGTCCAGGGCTATTGAACGCGGTACATTCAATTCATCTTTAATTAGTATTTTTTCCGTATTACCATTAAAGTCGGTTAACTCAATGGTACTTTTATGCGTATCAGTAAAGTAGATATGATTGTAAATCCAATCCACGGCCAAACCATCTGATGTTACACCACTGGCTTTTAAAACAACAGTTTTCTCATTGCCTTCATCAATCGGAGCTCTGCAACGGAAGATAAATACTTAGTAAGAACTTAAGGTCTCATTTTGTGTTGTTCCAAATATTATTATTAAGTCAATGATGATTTCTAATTAAATCAATTTTAAATACATCGGATTTTGACAGGTAGCGAGAGATTATAATACAATAGATTCTAATAAGCGGCATTGAGTTCTATTCGTATCTATTCTGACAGATAATGGAAGGTTCCAATAGGAGATGAACTTCAATATCGTCGATTCTGCTAAGTAAGGGTAAATTTTTACAAGTACTGGTGAATTCTAATAGGGTCAATCCTACTAAAGTCCATTCTGAAAAATCACATTGGATATAAACTTAAGCAACATCTTATACCTAAATATCTATACGCATGCGCGAAGTTAAATTAGCTTAGATACAAAACATGTTGATTTGAATTAAGATAACAACAGTTATTCTCCGTACACATTGACCTAGGAAGCTAAATATAGAAGGGAAAATCTGGCTCGCCTGCTAGCCGAAGAGGACATTTACTGTAGAAGAGATGGACTCAGAAGGCAGTACATAGCTAGACCAAAGAATCTTACGTAAAGTGGAAAACCCTTGCCTCGGACAGGAAAAGCCCAAGTTCTAGTGTCCCTTTCCGGGCCAACACTTTTAAAAAATCGGTCTAATCCACACGGAAAGAAACCACTCGCTTGGGCATGTTTTTCCTTTATCCCATCTTTACGGCGACACGACGCTAACTATCATATAGAAATTTTCTCGACACTTTCTGAGAATCTTTCGAACTTAGGTTTTTCAATGTATCTGGAATCCAAATCTAACCCAATTTAAGCTTTCATGTAAGTTCAGAAAAAAGAATCGGGGCTCTTTATAAATCCTTCCAGGTTATTTTGGCATCTGATTTGTCCACGGCCGATATTTGCGGTGAGAGAAATCCGCGCTAGTAAACAGAATTTTTTTGATGTTTTATTCCCACACTGATATTAGATTCATCAAGTTGTTCGACTGCTCAATCCCGATTACCACAAAGTACCCATTTCTAGTCTAAGCGAACCATGCTGTTAGATGACTTGCCAAGTGATCAAATATAAAGAACATCGAAAAATGCTAAAAACATTGGTTTCTTTTTCTTCTAACTTTCGCTTATTATAAATACATATATTAATACACTTACTTGTAAATGCTTTGTGTTGATACATCGCTCCAGAATATCATGCCAGTGCGGAATGCGAAATCTAATGCTGTAGCTGATTTTGTATTATTTACAATCGATGTCATTTCCATTCGATCTAAAGCAATTTTCCTAATATCATGACGTCGCGCTAGCAAAAGCGAAGCATGCCCTTCGATGGCTTTGCAACGCGTATGATTACGGGGATCGTGTCTATAACCGCCTACGCATTCGCATTTAAAGCCACCAATTTCATTGATGCATATTTGTGAGCAAATACCCGAATCTTCGGTACATTCGTTCACATCCGCGCAAGATCGATTATTAATGAGTTTGTACCTAAAACAAAAAAGCACAATAAAAACTGATTCACTGAAAGGCGCATTATTTTCAACGAAATCCTAATCAAATAAAGTGCATTGTGCGAACCTCTTCCTGGTATTTAACCAAATAACAAATATGTTCAAACCTTTATCACCAATAATTTTTGAAGCAGCCGATCTGATATGGTCAATTAAATGTTTGATTCCGTAATTCTTTCAAGCGATAACTATTTACTGCAATGTATTAAGTTGGAAACTACAAAACGAGCGTTTTTTGTTAAGTCTGTGTTGCACATAGGTTGACATTGAAAAATGGCCCCGCCATGTTAGCTTTCTCGATTTTTTTGCCCATAAACTACAACCGACGCACGATGTAAATTTTTATGTAGAAATTTAGTTTTTGTCATCTTCTTTAGTCTATTCTAGGATAACCGTTGATAGGTATATAAAATTTGTTGGCTGCCGAATATAATTTTCTGACTTTCCTTCTCATGATACCATTGTACATACAAAGTAGACGTATGCGGTCCACGTATTCCTGCCCTTATGCAGAGAAAAAGATATCACTTAAAAATTTGGAAAAGTGTGTGAGTATGACGCAAGCAGGTCAAAGAAACGCAAATCGAGAGCACAAGATATAGAGAATATGAATTTCCACAAAAAATTCTATAAAAATTCTATAAAAATAGAAAAAATCAGCCACGCCCAACCAATATTGTTATTATATTTTCCGTGTTGTTCCTTTCTTACAATCTTTTATAGTATATCGGTGATGGTGATTGTATAAAAGACTCGTCGAATTTTTATAGTTCACAGAAACATCTGCACAAGCTTGACATATTACGATTATGTAAAGACAGACGTATCTTGGGCCACGTAACAAGTTACAAGGCATTTTTTTCTTTGTAGTTTGTGTGATTTAACAAACTTATTTCATAATAAAACAAGTAAGCACATTATAGTTGAACAAGGCCGACCGTTAAATACCCTACAACACGCTGTCTAACACAATTATTATTTTTATTATAGAACACAAAAATTACGTCTTCCTTTGGGGGAGCGGGCCTAAAACGCAACCTAACATAATACAAGCTTAATCCGTACATAGCGCAGGATCCGAAAATTGGCGTAGGCAAATTTTGTAAAGTTCATTTTTGTACGAAATTACTATTATGGGTCAATTTCCATCACCACAAAAAATAGTACAGGATTGTCCAAACTTGGTACAGTTAATTTTTTGAGAGTAAATTATTGTTATTGTATAATTTTCGTCATAAAGCATTGCAAATTATACCTTTCCGTTGTATGAACTTCAGTTTTCGTTATATGGAAGGAGGTTCAAGAACTACCCCATCCGGGCGAAAGTTTTCATTCCAAATTAGAATGCCGAAATACTACTACTTCACCACTTTTCTGGAGGAAATTTCGGAAAATATCATTTTTTTTCATATAACGACTTTTCAGAATAGGGCGTTATATGGTGAGTGATCGAAAAAGTGAACCTATCCGAACCATTTTGAATAGTGTTCGTAGTTGGGTTAAAACACGTCACTGCACCAAATTTCATAAAAAATTATCTCAAAAATCACGATTTGTAGATTGAGCGCAAAAATACATATGCAGACATCGCACGGACAGGTAGGCATAGATCAATCCAGATTATGATTTTGAATCGATCAGTATAATAAAAAGTAGGTCTATTTTAAGCCCTTCTTGGCACCAACTCAATATACCCGGCATCACAAGTAGTGTAGGGTAAAACTAACATCATAACGTTTTCTTATGACTGTTGCTTCGGAATACAAAAATTGATACAAAATGCAAACGATTATAATAAGAATATGCATCAGTTCCTTTTACGATTAGTGACCGGTCAAAACCCCGGAATATATCCCTTATTTATTCAAAAAAAAAAAAGAACATAAAAGTTCTTTTCGTGTGTTTAATAATGCCGAATGGATCCCCATTTAATGGCACCCAGCCAGTACTTTTTTAAAATTCTCCCCATTTGACTGAATATATGTTTATTGAAAAAAACAGTGCAGAAACAAACTTAAAAGGAGCTATCATTGACCTTTAATCGAATCACGTGCATTATAATGTAAACGCTTTCGCTTCACTGGCACACGAGCGAAATAAGCCGACGATTAGCAGTACTAAATTTACGATAAACGACACGTACGTTTGTTCGTTTATTTATCGTTTAACTAAATCATAGCCAATACGGACTAATTCTTGATACATATCACTGCACATCATTCATGACACATTTCATTTAGGTCAATCATCTCACACACACAAATCACAAATCCATAAGCACTTTAGAAGGATTATTCAAAAAAAAAAAAAGAAGAATTATTATTTTACTTCAGCATGCATACACACACTTATGAGTTTGTACATATTTGATTAAAATTGCATTAAAAGTTGAAAAATAAAAAAAAATTCTTGCATAAATCATCTAACATAATGTATTGCATAGAGATTAAATTTCAACGTCAACTCTACTGATTGATTTACGTATCACCCTTTTAACGCACTCTCTCCCTCCCTCTCACTCTCTCTCTGTCTCTCACCAGGCAAATTGAATTAACTTCGCATTATATGCAAGTGTATGTGCAAAACAGTTTTGCATATAAATCATACGATTGTAATGATTTGTTGCGTGTCAAATCATTCGTAGTTGTTGTTGAACACTACGTTATTGCAAATAGCGATTTGCTGAGGCAAAATCTGAGAATTAGGAGAGAATAGTCGGAATTTATGTTATAAATTTATTTCTCCATTTTTTCTGATTACCACTTAATCAAGGATTGTCTGTAGGTTTGATGATAGTCAGGACACATTGTAGATGTAGTAGGGGAGAAGAGGAGGTTATGTTTTGCGTACGCTTGGATTGAAGAGTATAAGCATAAAAACTTATTATAGGGGATTACAATCCACTCACAAATTCCTCGATATACTACTGTGTTCACAATATTAGACGCGTTCTGCTTATTATTCTAGGGGACTGCAAGAGCTTTTAAAGAACTGTCCTCTTAGCAGATTCTTTCTTACATTTCTTTGAGTCATCGCATGGCTTTATTCAGATTTGCTATTTTAGCATAAACCTGAAGGCTGAAGGGAAATAGTCCCAAGTCTCTAGTGAGGATAAACTAGGGTGGGAAATTTCGTCTCTTTTCACCTATACCGTCTGAATCTATATGAGAATAGCTTTTGGATATGCTAAGCAAATTCACATGAACAATTGTCTTTATTTTTTTACTTTTTTCTCTCTCTTTTCAGTCAGGGAATGACAGGCAGAAATGAGGAAAGAGAGAAGGTGTGAAGATAGATTCGAATTTAACTATGAAAGACGGGTGCGGTCGACACTTCGTTATTTCTGACTGTTTCTTTCTCTTCTTGCTCTTCTTGTGTGTTACACGGATAGCGGTCATCCCCTGAGTGACGGATCATGTCAAAAAAAAAAAAAAAAATCCCTTCAATAGAGTTCTGTAAGTACCTTAGCGAGCCCTACTAAGTAGTCAGGATCATATTATTGGTGATACGAGGTGAAAGTTAGGAAACGTAAGATGTTTTTGCAAACACCTCGTGAAACCATATAAAAATACCCTTTAAATAAGCTAAAGCAATTCAAAGCTTTCCTTTCGCAATTATTTTTACGATTTTTTTCAAATTTGCTCTGTTCACATAGAACGTCACGTTCAAAGTAGTTCTCAAACTTAATTAATATTACTTGTTACTAGATTCGCTCGGCCGAGAAGGAATTTGTAGTGCATCACGATAATCAAGGAAAACTGTCGCCTTGATTTTAAAGCGACTTTATCGTTTATTCTTCACTCTTGGCTCTACTTTTCTATGGTATTCGCTCGGTTGTTTCGTAAATCTATGTCTCATGTCCCGCAACAATGTAAGTCAGAAATCATCAGGTCTCATACATTGCAAAAATCAGAAAAAATACTTTTTATGTCGCACAAAACCAAGTGCAGCTGAAACTCGAATAACGTTTATAATGTGAAACTTGACACAGATATCTTTCATAGTGTTACCAATTTAGAGAAAAGATATTTCCGATATTGCGGGTATTCCCCCGCAATTTAATTTGAATATCGATCTTACTTTCTGCTGACTGTATTTTCTTAGAAAAAGATAGTCCACAACCTCATCCACTTACCTATGCAAATAAAAACATTATAGTCAGGCAAGGCCGACTCTTAGGTACCGTACGTCACTTCGCTTAGTGCATTTATTCACCCATTTTGGTAATAATATACCAAAAAGTTACCCCTTATTTTCATACAAAGGTATACTTTTGATGAAGCCCGAGGAATTCTTATATGCGGTGGTATTCAAAAAATAGACCTACGCGGTCGGAATTCAGTAAGTTCGGATTCTATGTCAATTTACTATTATAAACTAGTTTTCACTATGAAATATTAGAAATCTTTTTAGTACATAGCAGATTTCGTTTTCGTAGAAACATTTATATGAGAGCCGTTTCGCAACATTGCAAAAGTTTCAAAAAATTGCCGTTAGAAAGTTTTCATACAAATTTAAAATGCCGAAATGATACTACTTAGCCACTTTTGCCGAGAAATTTTGGTAATCGAAATTATTTTCCATGTAACGACTTTTCAGGATAGGACATTATACGGGGAGTGATCGAACCGCTTTCAATAGCATTTGCTCTTGGGGCAAAACACGTCACTGTACTAAATTTCATTAAAATATCTCAAAAACTCCGGCCTACAGCTTGAACGCAAATTTAAATGGACAGACATGGGATGGATAGACAAACAGACAAGCTTAGATCAATTCAGATTATGATTCTAAATCGATCGGTATAAGAAAAGGTGGGTCTACCTTAAGCGCTTCTGATTGTTACATACGTCCGCACAAACATACCTTCTACGAATGGTATAGGGTATAAAGACACGAGCCTAAAAAGTCTGACATTTATTTCGTATGTTCCGATTTTTGCCTTTAAATCGGTTATGCCTGCAGATTTTATGCTTG